AGTCACTTTTCTTTCAATATACTAACGAAATAGAATTCCAATAGTTAAAAAATTATATTTTTAAACTTTTTAAGCTGTTCGGTTAGGGGAGACTGTGAATATACAAAAGACCGAAAAGACCAAAAAAGAATCTCGATTCAATGCGATTAATAATGGAAAAAAAAGAATTTCTTCATTGTCATGAGTGACATATATTTACATCCCGCATCAAATTTTACCTAAGTTCTCATATGTCTATATGCTAAATTTATCAATTTTGAGAAATTTGAAAGCTTCAAAAAGGCGCTAGGGTACATATTACGACTCGGGTTTTATAAAGAGAAATGTTTTTTTTTTGCTTATCAAACGGTGAAGGCACCAATTCCTGTATGTATCTAATTAACGCTGCTATGGCTATTATCTACTTCAAGGAAGAAATAGATATAAAGAAAACGAGTATACAAATGTCTAATGACAGTCGAAGTCTATCTCAATTCCACGATCTGCACTGCAACTCGTAATTCTTAAGCTTGACTGGATCGATTCAACAACTTTTGAATCATAAAACTGCAATATCTATTCTTTTAACTCAGTTTTACAAAGTTAATTGTCATATCAATTAGCAAATCAAGATATGTATCAGAGAACAATAATAGAATTCTATTCGTATGTCGACTCGAAAGGTGTAAAACATTGAAAACTCTAACGACTGAATAAAATAACAGAATTATATGGATCTGCTTCCTTTAACATATGTATCTTAAAATAGATCAATATGAACTAGGTTTTTTTTAAATAAAATATAAGCAATAGTTGACCTAGTAGACATCTCATACAAAGAGATCGATATAGTTTACAAAAAAACGATTCGATTCAGTTTCGATCTCAGATAAATATTACGAAATCAACTGAATGAAATGGAAAAAAAACCGTCACAAGTCGATCATTGATATACAGAGTTTTCAAGGGTTTTCAGGATATGATTTTGCTCAAGCTCTTCAAATCAATATGTGAGAAAAGATATTTTAGGATCTTTTTTGACTTACAAATCATCGTAAATAAATTCACCACTAGATTTAATATGCATTCACGAGATAATGTAAAAAATATAATTATTGCCAAATTCATCAATGGTATATATTAAAATAAAAATATGCGGATAGTAATAAATTTATCCGGTTAATTCTTGAACGAGATCGAGAAACGAATATTTCACATGTGAGTAATCTGCACAAACAAATACTATAGGTGATTTATTTTTAACGTGCAGTATATATGTGAAGAAAGAAACGAAAAAATGGGAAATATCATATATATGACGTCATCCAATATTGTTCTACGCAACATAAACTGATGAATACAACAGTCATATATTTTCTACCATTATATACATATCATGCATGACATCATATTATTGATTGTGACAGAATTATTTTTTGTAAATAAATAAATAAAAGTGTGATCATATTAATGACAAGAATCAAAAGAACGATGACAACTTAAAACGAAATTGTTAAAATCCATGCTACGCAATATTCTTCATATTGATCCAGTGTTAAGAAACAAAATTATAGAATTTACTGCAAGATACACTCAGATGACGGTTTTTTCTTTCTCGAATGCGCACGACTTCAATTAAAACAGTCTTCTTCTTCATTTTCATCACTTTTTTTTTTGGAACATCCATGTAACACGAGGCCAACAGATAAGGTGAGAAGAAATGAGTCATTGCGAACATAATTGATTTAGTCATCATTTTCTATTGCTGCATTGGATTTATTTACCATCTATACGTGAAAATACATTCGATTGTATATGAATGAATTACACAGTACGAAAATCCTAGTTAGCTATGACTAAACAATTTGCACAGACTTAACAAAATCACGGAAGACAAATTTAATGCTCATGAAATTGTTCATAAATCGAAAAAATGTTTTCAATATAAACCCAGGACAAATGAAAAATAAAAACAGTTTAAGTTTCGAAGGAAAAAAAATCATGCTACTACTAAAAGTTAAGCCAATCTTATACTAATTATGAATCGATTTCTCTCGAACTATAGATTGCTGAAAAACAAAATTCAAGGAAAGACATGCGATCTTGAGAAAAGAGTAATTGATGATCAGTGATTGAACTTATTGACCGGTGAAAATGTTCATGATATGAAGAAAGAGTAAACACAGTGATTTTCAAGAGTTTCTGTACTTGAGAAGTCAGAATAATCAGAAAAACAAAGATATATCTCAGAATACTGACGAAGAAGTATTTATAAGTGTTTGACACTAATCGGCCTCATGATTTGAAAGTATGTAGATCTCAGTAAGAATATCAAAAGCTTGTGATCCCTATATACATATGCCGTCCAGTATATCAGATGAAAATATTCTAGCCTATGAATTGAAGTGTTCGTACTACAGCTGACACATGCGTTTTTTCGACCCGAAGCTGGCCATGAGGATGGAGATTTGCAGGCTTTTGCTACTCTGAATCAAATCCGTTTACGGGCAAATTAAAAGTTTCCGTAACGTCGAACATTCAGGCATGTTCTCTAGTGACAAAGACAACAATATTGACAGCAGTCAACTGCCATCAAAGAACAATAATAAATCAAATTCAACAGCGAAGGTGGATGTCGAATATATAGAGTTGGGATGTGTGGGTATCTCTATTCTCCTAACGCACACATCTACACTCACACCCACCATCTAGACTTCTATAACTAACAGTACTGAAAATGGCTGGTATTAATCATATAAATCAGTAAATTTCGTTTTCTATCGTTTGTTATTTTCTTATTTAGAGATGTTCAAATTTGAAGATTAGTTCAACCAATGGATTTAAATAAGCGTTCATGTTTTTATCGTTTATTTGATTCTCTATTTTATTTTATAACGTCTCGATCTGAACTTTGATTGATGTTTTTCCATTACGATAAATAATCATTTAACATCAGATACACTTTTATCAATACTACTTTTATTATCAAGATTTTTCTTTGGGCTTCCTTGTCATATTGACGTTCACGAAATTATTAAATTAATGTTTTAAATTATAACGAAGGAATAATTATAGTTTGCGTATATTTCTTAGATGAATTTATCAAAGGATAAGCTTTTTTTTTGGACAAAAATAAAAAATCTTAAGTTTTAAAATAAACCTCTAGAAAGTCTGAGTCTTTTATTTGAAGTGATTTATCTTGGTTTTAATATTTTAATACAGAATTAAATGAAGAAACAGTATTAGCTTATTACTATCAAACGAGAAATCCATCTTACGATCGGTTGGGTTTAAATGACCAAATTTATATGAAAAATTTTCCATTTGAAGCGATATTAGAATCGAATGAATTTAATTTAATGAAATTTCTCTTTTCACATTTTCGTGTAGGACAAAATGAATGCATGCAATCTAACAAAAGAATATTGTTAATAACATATTTGATATATTATGAAATGTTTGAAAGAGACGACATAGCTGTTTTTCTTCGTGAAACATCTTTTCATATTAAACAATATGAGATGTTGATTAACTCAATATGTTCAAGAATTAACCAAATATTAAAGTTTAAATTGTAGAAAACATTATTCAACTACTTTAATCCATTATCCACTCTTGGGCCACTATTGATCCATTCAAAGAATCTAACTATTTGGAGTAATGAAGTATCGAATTGATGTGATGATTGCAGAACATTATGTAAAGCTTTTAACCAGCTAGTATTTTCTAAAGAAAGTGAAAAGAATCAGTTTTATTTAGTTACACGGACTGATTCTTAGATCTAATAACCAGCCAAAAGCATTCCAAGGCCATCTTTAAAAAACTGTTTATCCTTCTTCTAGGCAAGACTTTAGTAATAGGAATGAGTGATTTCGGATTGAAATCTGAACCAAAGATTTCATATTATATAAAGAAAATGAAGACTAACGATTTCGATACGCTTCTGGATATGGAAGACCTGAATTTAACCTGAATATAGCTGGTTTTGCACGTGCCTAACCATCTATCATTACTCCAAATGAATGATTTTTTCAAAAAAACTAATTCGTGATAAATAGAGATCCACTTTTTTATAGATAAAATAGCAGTATAACTGCGAAAAAGTCAAATTATCAAGAAATTCAATCTCTATGTCATTCAAGACGAATGGCTTATTTTAGACTTACTTCGCATCTCCACCATGAAATGACTTGGCACACACTGAACTACACCAACGTCATAATTAGCATCTGCAGATAATATTCCCATGGTTGACTCAACGTCAAACGTACTGGATGATTCAGACAACCAAGAATGTAATAGGTTTTGAGAATAATAAATGTCTTCATCTTGTGTAGAAGTGAGCATTACGATGTAGCAGCATTACTGTTATAAATAAGATTTCTTTCAGGATGTGTTTTCTCCAATATGAGAAGGACCAAGAATGTGTCGCTCCTCATAATACTAAGT